CAAATACATCTCCTTCGTCAAGTTATCTTTGGCTTGGAACCGAATATCACTTGATGCAAATCGAATAAAGTAAGTCCTTTGCAGGAGTGGAATTTTATAATACACTGAGGGTACAACTGACTTTTTACTACTAATCCCTCCAAATTTCTCCCCTTTCGCGAGTAGCCAAAAAGCTTTCCATCCCGCAAATCCATCTTCGTAGTTCATTGCTTTTCCTCTCAAACGAACACACAATTCACTTCATTTCATCGCTCACAAACTCACATGAATAATACAATCTGTTCATATGAACACAACGTCACACATGAACTTGCATTAAATGTTGTGTAGTTTGTTTGGAATATGTCACAATCATGCATAAGAAAACAAGGTAAATAATATATTTGAAATAAATACATATTTTTTCTTCATCTATCCATTTGTTGAAATATCTATTTTGTTTTTTTAACTCTTATTCTTTTTAATCTTTAAAAACTCCATTGTGTTTTTCTTTAATGAAATATTTCAATTTTTTCATTTCATAATTATATTTATTGAATATTATATTTGACAAAAATCACTATTGAAAATTAAGGTTTTGTATAAATCAAAATAAGTTAGTTTCTTAAGCATTTGCTTTTTAAATGATTTTTTAATATCGATAGAGTTATTGTTAAATTATTTTTAAATTGTTTAACACAAGTTTAGTAAGTATTTGATTATCGGGCAAGTATTTCCTTTAAAGGCATTTGGTAGTAGATACAAGAAATGATATTTTCGGACAAAATGTTTTTTAGGAAAATATTTTTGAATTTGTAAATATCTTTTCAAATATTTATTTTAATATTTTTTATTTTGGATTGGAGGTTTTAAAATATAATTTTAGATTATGAAATACTTATTTTGAATTTTTTTTATATTTTAGATTAAGTTTATTTTGGAAAATATTTTATAAAGGTGGAAATACATTTCAAAATATTCAATTATGAATATAAAAGAATTCTACGTGTCAAAGGTATTTTTGAATTTGTAAATATTTTTTAGAACATACATCCTATAATATTTTTTAATATTTTTTGGAATACGTGTTTTAAAAGATATTTTTATGTCTAAAATTTTATTCTGAAACACTCAATTTAGAAAATGTTAAAAAAGAAAATATGTTGGGATTTTTATTATAATTTTAATAAGAGCATATAGATTTATAAATTTTATGGAGTGCATTAAGAAAAAAGTGGAGAGCAGGAAGGAAGAAGTAGACTTCAACTAATTTTAGGTATTACTCCCTCCACCACCACAACTTCTTCCTCCACCACCCCATTCCCTTTTTACCTTTTCTTTATTTTTCTATTTCTATTTTATCCTTACTAAAATTTTAGGGTTAATATTATTTAAAATCTATTCTCTTTATCATTCTTTCCTCTTTCTCTTTGTTATTTTTTTCAAGTTGTCTCTTACGTTCCATTATCCTTGGGTTATCTTTCATGTTTCACTTCTTCTTCTCTTTTATAGAATTGTGGGAAAAACAATTTATTTTCAGTCGTGAGTGTGGTGGTGCTTCAAAGTCCTGGTTCAGAAGCGTGAGAGGTTCATAGGGATAAAGGTGCGTAATAAAACCCTAAAATATAAACCCTATAATTTTTAAACGGACGTGAACATCCGTCAACATATTATACCATTTATATTTTACAGTTTTTTTTATATTAATTTTGAAAATATCTTTTTGGCCCAGTCTCTTTTGTTCCTACACTCATTTTTGTTGCCCCAAACCCAATCTGGTTTTCTAATATTTACACTGAACAATCTTCTTCTCTTNTGAATTCCTTACCTACCCATTCAAAATCGTTTATTATGCTTATGACTAATTGCTTAGGTACCCTTTTTAACATAGTAATTATTTCAAGAATCAATAAATATACATTATAATTCCAATGGCTAATAGATTGATAATGAAATATTTTAAAATAATTTATTAATTTCTAAATAAACGTGAAGACTTATTAAAATTTTAGGGAATAAATTGTTTACTTATTATTTATAGATAATTGACTTGTTAAAGAATTTTTTCCCCGAGAAAGACGAAAGTGTGAAATACAAAGTAGTAAAATAAATAAAAGTGTCAAGGGGAATATTAAGGAGGGAAACTTGAACTGCAACCTTAATTGCAAACCATCTATGCTTTGTTCAGTTGGAGGAGAGAAATTGGGAGAGAGTGAGTGGATGAATTTGAGCACTTGGAGGAGAGAAATTGGGAGAGAGTGAGTAGATGAATTTGAGGGGATTTGAAGGTGAATTAATTGTTGTTTATTTCAGAAGATTTAGAGGTAAATTAGAGTAGATTTGAAAGTAAAGTACATGAAAATTAGTGTAAGATTTGATTGATGTGACATAAATTTTTTTTTTTAATTGGTAGAAATTGAAGATTACCAAAATGCCCATAGTTATTAAATTAATATAAAATGATAATCTTTAATATTATATTTAATTGTAAAAAAGTTTATAAAGAGTAAAAAATTAAAATTAATTATTAAAAGTTTGTACCTAACAATTTTTTTTACCAATTATCCAATAGTATTTTCTAGTAAACGCAGGCACCATTAGCCTTCAAGTATCATTCTACAAAAGGAAATTCAAGACAAAAACCAGTTTTTATCATCTATCAAAGCCTTCAAATCCATTACATTCATCCCATCGATTCATCCTTCCAATTTCCCAATTTCTTTTTGGTTTGCAAACCTTAACCCAACCATCATAACCTTGATAGCCACATGTAGCACCTCCACGAAGGACCATCGATAACTCATCTTCGAGCCATCATCAACCATCACGTTTCCATCTTTCACCATTTCCTCACAAACCTGCAAGCAAAAGCTAACTTCTTCTGCTAAAACCCAAGGTTCAAATAGCCTATATGCTAAAGCTTCATTCTGCTCCAGACCTCCGTTGTCATTCCCGCAACTGAAACAGTAACGAGTCACCACCATGTCACCAGCTTGGTCGTTCCCCACCACTGTCATATTCGCCGACCATCACCCACGCCGCCATCGCAAAACTTGCAAAACACCATCGCTTGACCAATCGCCTTTGAGGACGCGGGTTACGACGGGTGTTGCCCTTGGTCGCGACGCTTGTCGCCAAACCCTCGCGCCACCGCTCCAAAGCCGCCATCTTCCTCGCGCCAAACCCTTTAATCGTTAGCGCTATTTGAAGTGGTTTTGCATAATGGGAACCGAATACCACTCCATGGTAACCAAATACATCTCCTTCGTCAAGTTATCTTTGGCTTGGAACCGAATATCACTTGATGCAAATCGAATAAAGTAAGTCCTTTGCAGGAGTGGAATTTTATAATACACTGAGGGTACAACTGACTTTTTACTACTAATCCCTCCAAATTTCTCCCCTTTCGCGAGTAGCCAAAAAGCTTTCCATCCCGCAAATCCATCTTCGTAGTTCATTGCTTTTCCTCTCAAACGAACACACAATTCACTTCATTTCATCGCTCACAAACTCACATGAATAATACAATCTGTTCATATGAACACAACGTCACACATGAACTTGCATTAAATGTTGTGTAGTTTGTTTGGAATATGTCACAATCATGCATAAGAAAACAAGGTAAATAATATATTTGAAATAAATACATATTTTTTCTTCATCTATCCATTTGTTGAAATATCTATTTTGTTTTTTTAACTCTTATTCTTTTTAATCTTTAAAAACTCCATTGTGTTTTTCTTTAATGAAATATTTCAATTTTTTCATTTCATAATTATATTTATTGAATATTATATTTGACAAAAATCACTATTGAAAATTAAGGTTTTGTATAAATCAAAATAAGTTAGTTTCTTAAGCATTTGCTTTTTAAATGATTTTTTAATATCGATAGAGTTATTGTTAAATTATTTTTAAATTGTTTAACACAAGTTTGGTAAGTATTTGATTATCGGGCAAGTATTTCCTTTAAAGGCATTTGGTAGTAGATACAAGAAATGATATTTTCGGACAAAATGTTTTTTAGGAAAATATTTTTGAATTTGTAAATATCTTTTCAAATATTTATTTTAATATTTTTTATTTTGGATTGGAGGTTTTAAAATATAATTTTAGATTATGAAATACTTATTTTGAATTTTTTTTATATTTTAGATTAAGTTTATTTTGGAAAATATTTTATAAAGGTGGAAATACATTTCAAAATATTCAATTATGAATATAAAAGAATTCTACGTGTCAAAGGTATTTTTGAATTTGTAAATATTTTTTAGAACATACATCCTATAATATTTTTTAATATTTTTTGGAATACGTGTTTTAAAAGATATTTTTATGTCTAAAATTTTATTCTGAAACACTCAATTTAGAAAATGTTAAAAAAGAAAATATGTTGGGATTTTTATTATAATTTTAATAAGAGCATATAGATTTATAAATTTTATGGAGTGCATTAAGAAAAAAGTGGAGAGCAGGAAGGAAGAAGTAGACTTCAACTAATTTTAGGTATTACTCCCTCCACCACCACAACTTCTTCCTCCACCACCCCATTCCCTTTTTACCTTTTCTTTATTTTTCTATTTCTATTTTATCCTTACTAAAATTTTAGGGTTAATATTATTTAAAATCTATTCTCTTTATCATTCTTTCCTCTTTCTCTTTGTTATTTTTTTCAAGTTGTCTCTTACGTTCCATTATCCTTGGGTTATCTTTCATGTTTCACTTCTTCTTCTCTTTTATAAAATTGTGGGAAAAACAATTTATTTTCAGTCGTGAGTGTGGTGGTGCTTCAAAGTCCTGGTTCAGAAGCGTGAGAGGTTCATAGGGATAAAGGTGCGTAATAAAACCCTAAAATATAAACCCTATAATTTTTAAACGGACGTGAACATCCGTCAACATATTATACCATTTATATTTTACAGTTTTTTTTATATTAATTTTGAAAATATCTTTTTGGCCCAGTCTCTTTTGTTCCTACACTCATTTTTGTTGCCCCAAACCCAATCTGGTTTTCTAATATTTACACTGAACAATCTTCTTCTCTTCCAATTTTCTTCCACCGCTCCCATTTTCGGCGTGACCTAACCACCACCGTCTTCAATCTCCGAAGCCCCGCCGTGTCCACCGCACCTTTTCTATTCCATTCTCTATCTTCAAGACGTCCGTGCCAATTTCAGCAAAGGACAGACCTCCGCCTGCAGGGCAAACACCTGACCACCTATCCATCTCGAGAGAAGAGGCGTGAAGCGGCCGACGTTAGACACCTGAACCCCTGAGCTCCCTTAATGAAAACAAATCGTTGAGATTTTTTTGTTGGTACGTTCCCTAAACCTCACTTCTCTTTCGGACAACCACAACCATGTTCACAGCTTCATTCTCCCTTAAACCCTTTTCTTCTTCCTTCTCGTCCTCCTGCTCCTCATTCACCACCACCCTTTTCCCCAAACTCCTCTTCCCACCTTTCTCACATCTCCACCCACCGCCAGGTGTCTCTCCACCTCTCTGCACCCTCCACTCCAACACCCTCTCCCTCCCCTCAAACAAAAAAAAGAAAAAGAAAAAACCATACGACGGCGCTTTGCCCTCCCTCCTCCGATCCCTCAAAGCAGCCGCGGATGTGGCCCTCGTACTTGGCTCTCTCCCGGACGCTCCCTCCCTCTCTCCCAAAGAAATTACCGTCATCCTCAACGAACTGTCTTCCTCGTGGCAGCGCGCGACCAGGGCCTTCGACTGGTTCAGGTCCCAAACGTGGTACACCCACAACGCCATTCACTACAACGTTGTTCTAAGAGCCCTGGGAAGGGCTCAGCAGTGGGACCAGCTCCGCATCTGCTGGCAAGACATGGCTAAAAATGGCGTCTTGCCCACCAATAACACCTACAGCATGCTCGTTGATGTGTATGGGAAAGCAGGTCTTGTCCAAGAAGCGCTTTTGTGGGTTAGGCACATGAGGGTGAGAGGTTTTTTCCCTGATGAGGTTACTATGTGCACTGCTGTTAAGGTGTTGAAGGACGTGGGAGAGTTTGATAAGGCTCATAGGTTTTACAAGGGGTGGTGTGATGGGAGTGTTGAGTTGGATGATCTTGATTTGGATTTAGAGAGTTCTTTTCGTAGTAATGCTAGTGGTAGAAGTACTAATACGTCTGCATCAATGGCAATTAGCTTCAAGCAGTTTCTCTCTACTGAGTTGTTTAAGATTGGTGGAAGAGTGTCTACTTCTGTGGCACATTCAAATTTGTGTAATGTGCCACAAAAGCCTCGTCTCTCTACCACCTATAATGTGTTGATAGATTTGTATGGGAAGGCAGGGCGGTTAAGCGATGCAGCCGAGGTTTTTGAAGAAATGCTGAAGGAGGGTGTAGCCATGGATGTGTGGACTTTTAATACCATGATTTTTATTTGTGGGAGTCGTGGTGATTTGGTGGAGGCGGAGGCTTTGCTTGGGATAATGGAGGAAAAAGGGGTGGCGCCCGATACCAAGACTTATAATACTTTTCTGTCTTTGTATGCTGAGGCTGGGGATGTCGATGCTGCGGTTTCTTGTTATAGGAGAGTGCGGGAGGCTGGTTTGTGTCCTGATGTTGTGACTTACCGAGCTCTTCTTGGTATGCTATGCAAAAAGAATATGGTTCAGGATGTGGAAGATTTGATTGATGAAATGGAGAGGGATTCTGTGGGTGTTGACGAGCATGCACTTCCGGGAATTGTGGAGATGTATGTTAGTGAGGGGGATATTGATAAAGTGTATCAGCTGCTGAAGAAGTTTCATATAAATAGGGAGATGTCCTTGAAAATTCGGGCGGCGGTTATGGATGTTTTTGCTGAGAAAGGACTCTGTGAGGAAGCAGAGAATTTGTTTTATGGAGGAAGGGACTTGACAGTACATAAAAAGGATGTTTTAGAGTGCAATGTCATGATCAAAGCGTATGGAAAAACTAGACTTTATGACAAGGCTGTGTCTCTCTTTAAGGGAATGAAAAATCACGGGACTTGGCCTAATGAAAGCACATACAATTCCCTTATTCAAATGTTGTCTGGTGGTGATTTAGTGGACCAAGCAATAGAACTTATGGATGAAATGCAAGAATTAGGGTTTAAGCCACCTTGTCAAACTTTTTCTGCTATTATTGGTTGTTATGCTCGCCTTGGTCGGCTTTCTGATGCCAAGCGTGTGTACGGAGAAATGGTAAGAGTTGGAGTAAGACCAAATGAGGTTGTGTATGGCTCTTTAATAAATGGATATGCAGAACATGGTAGTCTTGAAGAGACACTTAAATACTTCTACATGATGGAAGAATCTGGGTTTTCAGCTAATTTAATTGTGTTAACATCCTTACTGAAGGCTTATTGTAAGGTTGGAAATTTGGAAGGAGCAAAAGCCATCTATGAGCGGATGAAGAACATGGAAGGGGGTCTGGATTTAGTTGCATGTAATAGTATGATCGGCCTCTTTGCGGATCTTGGCTTGGTTTCTGAAGCCAAGTTGGCTTTTGAAAATTTGAGAGAAATGGGTCGGGCGGATGCAGTTTCCTATGCAACAATCATGTATCTTTATAAGGCCGTGGGAATGATGGACAAAGCCATCGAGATTGCAGAGGAGATGAAACTTTCGGGTTTACTGAAAGATTGTGTTTCATATAATAAGGTACTGGTGTGTTATGCCGCCAATGGGCAATTCAATGAATGTGGTAAATTAGTACATGAGATGATATCTCAGAAGCTTTTGCCAAATGATGGAACTTTTAAAGTTTTGTTCACTATATTAAAGAAGGGAGGTATTCCCAATGAAGCAGTGGCACAATTAGAGTCATCTTACCAGGAGAGGAAACCATATGCTCGGCAAGCAACCTTCACTGCCTTGTACTCTTTAGTTGGTATGCATACTTTGGCACTTGAATCTGCTCGACCATTCATTGAATCTGAGGTTGAACTTGACTCATCTGCCTATAATGTGGCAATCTATGCATATGGTTCAGCTGGAGATATCAACAAGGCCTTGAATATATATATGAAAATGCGGGATAAGCATGTGGGACCTGACCTTGCAACGTATATATATCTGGTTGGTTGTTATGGAAAAGCTGGCATGGTTGAAGGTGTGAAACGGGTATATAGCCAATTAGAATATGGAGAGATTGAGTCAAGTGAGTCTTTGTACAAGGCTATTATAGAAGCCTATAAAATTTGCAATAGAAAGGATCTTGCCGAGTTAGTTAGCCGAGAAATGAGATTTGCATTGAACTCACAAGAACATTCTGAAGTTGGAAGCGAAGGTCAATATGATGTTGGAAGCGAAGATGAATATGAAGTTGGAAGTGAAACTGATTATGACGAATTCTGATACAGCTTCTTCAGGATCCTAATACTGACAAGAAACTGTATGAAGACGGATACAAATGCCATTCAATTCAGGTTAGTTTCAATGTCTTCAATTCGTAGAAGAAAGTCTTGTGTGTCAAAATTTAGAATTACGTTTCTGAAATCTAATCTCCCTTCTCAGCTTCTTCAGACACACTCCTTTGCAACTTTACTTGTTGTGGCTGTTTCGTCTCTTCTATTTCTCTTCCTGCCTCTCCGCCTCATACCAGGATTCACTCTTACACATGCAGGACTTCCCAAAGTACCAGGTATCATCTTTACATTTAATTTAATTTTATTCTGTGTTTTATCATACTGTTGTAGGTGCAGGTTGGTACCTTATGCTTGTTGCTCAAGCCTTAAAAGTTATAATATGGACATTAAGAATATTGTGTGTTTTTAATTTGTTAGAGATGTAATATTACCATGCCATGACCTGATAACTTTAAATCTTTAGGATAGTTGGTTCATTACTTGGTGCCATAGCCTCTTTAGCTTAGTGGTTCTGAGTTTGATCTTTTTTATATAAAATGTTGATTTTTTTTTTCGAGATAGGTGGGTCTGTTCATATTTTCTTTTCTAACTTTTCTCTGAAATGTGTCACTTGGACATGCCATATTAAACCAATTTTATGCTGCCACTTAACTTAGGCTTTTGAGACATTTAGGTTCAGGACATTTATTTGAACCCACCTTCAATGCCCTTTACCCCCTATGCCTAAAAATCAGGAATATTTGTTATCAAGTCTTAGTTCTAATCTATTAACGAACAAAATAGTCGATTGCTGCAGTGAAAGCAGGTTAATCTGAATATAATATCTGCAGAATTGGGGGCAGGGAAATTTGCTGATTGTAGAGTGATGGAAGAAAGTAAAGGAATATAAATCTATAGTCGTACTGTCTCTAGCGGACCCTTTAATTGGTTGGACGCCACTACTTATGCTTTAATTAAGTTTTTGCATGACTTTGATTATATGCTTTCTTAGCTAGGTCGGAGTGACATTATGATTCATATATGGTTATCCATCTTGTTTTTTTCCAGTACCTATATGCAACCAGTTAGTAATACGGTCTTTTTTTGGTCAATGGCTCCCTAACTAACGGGCTACAAGTGGTGCAATGGATGCTGGGAACTTGTTGAAGCCAATGCTTGGAAGAGGTGAACTTAGATGTATAGGAGCAAGTACATTGAATGAGTATAGAAAATATATTGAAAAAGATCCTGCTCTTGAGCGAAGATTTCAGCAAGTGTTTTGCAGTCAACCATCTGTTGAAGATACAATTTCTTCGTGGGTTGCGTGAACGCTATGAATTGCATCATCGAGTTAAAATATCAGATAGTGCATTTGTTTCAGCTGCAGTTCTTGCGGATCGATACATTACAGAGCGTTTTTTAGCTGACAAAGGTAAGATGTGACATTAGCCCATATATGATGGGTTGATGCCTTTGTAATAATTTATTTTAGGGTTACATGCAGAAGTTTGGTCTTTAGCTAGAGCAGCATAAAGTTAGTTTTGAAAAGAAAAAAACATTCCCTCTCTTTGTTAAAAGCCTTTATATTGTTAATAGCTTGGAATATTTTTTCCCTTTTAGCCATTGATCTTGTGGATGAAGCTGCTGCGAAGCTGAAGATGGAGATAACCTCTAAGCCTACTGAATTGGATGAGATAGACAGGGCAATATTGAAATTGGAGATGGAAAAGCTCTCTTTGAAAAATGACACTGACAAGGCATCTAAAGAAAGATTAAGTAAGCTTGAAAATGATTTGAGTTTACTTAAACAGAAGCAAAAAGAATTGGCAGAACAATGGGACAATGAAAAAGTTTTTATGACACGAATAAGGTCAATCAAAGAAGAGGTAATGTTTAGTTTGTATATAGTCAGTCACAGCTCCCGTCCTCCCCAGGAAAAGAATTTTGAACCTTACATGTTGTAAACATTTGCAGATTGATAGAGTCAACCTAGAGATGGAAGCTGCTGAACGTGATTATGACCTGAACCGAGCTGCTGAGCTCAAGTATGGAACTTTGATGTCCCTTCAGCGACAATTAGAAGAAGCTGAAAAGAACCTAACTGACTTCCGAAATTCTGGAAAATCTTTGCTTCGAGAAGAGGTCACTGACCTTGATATTACTGAGATTGTTAGCAAATGGACTGGTATACCATTATCAAACCTCCAACAAACAGAAAGAGAAAAATTAGTCTTGCTGGAACAGGTTCTTGACAAGAGAGTGGTTGGTCAGGATATGGCAGTAAAATCTGTGGCTGATGCAATTCGCCGTTCAAGGGCTGGATTGTCTGATCCAAACCGACCAAGAGAGTGGTTGGTTAGCAAATGTACGTTTTCTTACCTTCTATAGATGGAACGAGTGAAGAACAGGCTTAAGCAAAAAGAAAATTGATCTTCATTACACAGAAGAAGCTGTTAAATATCTTGGTGTACTGGGTTTTGATCCAAATTTTGGTGCAAGACCAGTTAAAAGAGTGATACAACAGTTAGTTGCAAATGAAATTGCTATTGGAGTTCTAAGGGGAGATTTCAAAGAAGAGGACTCAATCATTGTGGATGCTGATGTGACTCCATCAGCCAAAGAACGTTCTCTGAATAGACTGCTTATTAAGAAGTTGGACAGCCCTGTTGCGGATGCCATGCCCATGGTTGTCAATCACTAATTTTACCCGCCGCAATAGATAAAAGGTAGTTTTTATTTTTATGTGTAATCATTGTCATAAGAATATTCTGTTTCAGAAGATTTGTTGATTATTGTTTCACTCTAGATTGCACAGGTCACTAAATATCGTGAATTTTTTTTTTATAAAAAAAAATCTAATCATATTTAACTGCAATTATACTTTTGGTCTATAGATGCTTTGAGATACTCTTAATATAAAAACAGCTCTCATTTGAAGTTTGGTACAACTAAAGTCACTAAATATCTTCAATGTAGAAGCCTATAGTTATATTTGGTCGTATTGTTATTTTGTCCTTTTCTTCACTTATTGATGATATTAAGAAATAATGGTAAATTAAGATGGAATAACAGATAATTTGAAATAAGTTAAAATAACAGCTCGTAGTAGTATTAGAAAGTGCGAAAAATAGTTGTTAAAGAGTTAGTAAATATTTCGTTAATTATATGCATATTATTTTAAAAGAGAAAAATTGTTAAAATTATAAAAGAAATATGAAGTATTAATGTTTTATTGAAAATCTTTTATTTTGTTCGAAACTTCTTGATGATGAGTGAAATAGATCATTCATCTTTATATATTATGAAGTTGTTTTTTCATCTTTAGCTTTGCACATGATCTATATTATTACATGCCTTTGTCGTTGTAGGATGTATAGTCAACCATACTCATTAAGAATATTTATTTAGAGTAGATCACTATTATGTATTTAAGATGGCTTCTTCGGCGGTGACAATTACATAACTTCTCATGTTGGACTTCGATGGTGGTATTTTTGGGGGTGTTTGCACCTCCAACTTTTCAAGAAAATACCAAAACTAACCTTGGTTAAAAATGTTTTTAATTTAGGTAAAAAAATATAATTTTTTTCTCTAACCTAATAAAGTTACACACCTACTCACACAAACTTCTTTTGCAAACCACTAGATCGAGTGGTCGATCGAATATTGACATCCAACCATACCATTCTCGGATATCGGATACCAATCTTCACAACTTTAATTTTTCTAAAATATTTATATTAAATCTAAAAAATTCATAAAAGTTATTTTTAACAATTATATATTATCTAGTTAAATTCTAAATTCATAAAAAATAATTTAGAATTTTAAACATAATTATAAACTAATAAATTAATTATATAAGTAATGTAATAAAATTTTTATATAAAATATTAAATATAAATCGGACGTGGATATCCGAAATCATGGCATCGGATATCACGATGGGCACATAATCAATTTTTTATTATTTTAAATTACTTTTATTAATTTTAATATATTTATACAATTAAATTTATATTAATTAAAAATTATATTTTTACATTATAAATTCATACATAAATTTATAAATAATTTTAAATTAATATAATAATAATTAAATATATAACGAATATAATTTAAACCTATATTAAATATTTATCAGAATTGAAAAGTTGAAAAACGCTCCATCGGATGTTCATATCCAATTTGGCACACATAGGATCTCAACAGCTGATAAACTCATTTTCGAATTATATGTTGTGTATTTCATGCAAACAGATTAACACAGATAAAATCCTAACCTTCTTCGAAGCAATGCAACAACAATTTCACACCAACAACAGCAAGAAGAAGAAGCATCCCAGACACCACCACGAAGCACTCCAACCGCACCAGGAACGCACCACCACACCATTCCAAACTACAGTAAAACACTCACAACTGGAAAAGGAAAACTTCAAATGGAATGGACAGAAAAAATATTAAGGAGGAGAAAAGATGATCAGAGATGCAATTCAAATGGGATGTTGTTTGAATATAAATTGATTTTGTATGTTGGGCCTAAAAGATAAAAGTTGAATATTAGCAAAGACCCAAATAGCATTCTAGAAAATCCTATCTAGAAGGATTCTAAAATGTTCTACAAAAATATCTAGAGATGCTTATCCATAAGATGTCTCTAGATAAGTTTAGAATTATAGGAATGATTTAGAAAGTTCTAGAGAATAAATTATAACCCTTAGATGAATGTTGAGGTGGCAAGATCATAACCATTGGTTAAGGAGGTGCCATTAGTATAAATAGGGGATGGTTGTATCATTTGAAAAAAAGCCAAAAAGTTTAGAAGCACTCAATACAAGCCTTTCCTCTTCTCTCAAAATCTTCCAACCTCTCTCAATCTTAAACACTTTCTTCTAGCCTTTAAAGTTTCCTCCCAACAAAGTGGTATCAAGAGCCATAAGATCTTCGTAGAAATGGCAAATACTAGAGTTCCCTTTCAAGTCCCAATGCTCACTAAGAGCAACTATGACAATTGGAGCTTAAGGATGGTAGCTCTCCTTGGTGCACATGATGTCTGGGAGGTGGTCGAGAAGGGCCACATTGAGCCAGAAAATGTAGAGAGTCTTTCTCAAGCTCAAAAAGATAGCTTGAGAGACTCAAGGAAGAGAGACAAGAAGGCTCTCTGTCTAATCTATCAAGGACTAGATGAAGATACTTTTGAGAAGATTTCTGGAGTCAAGTCAGCCAAGGAAGCATGAGAGAAGCTTAAGATCTCTTACAAGGGAGCAGATCAAGTAAAAAAGGTACGTCTTCAAACTTTGAGAGAGTTTGAAGCTTTACATATGAAGGAAGGTGAACTAGTTTCTGATTACTTTTCAAGAGTTTTAGCGATTACTAATAACCTAAAAAGAAATGGTGAGAAGCTAGATGATGTAAGAATTATGGAGAAAATGCTTAGATCATTAGATCCAAAGTTCGAACATATTGTTACCATTACCGAAGAAACAAAAGACTTGGAGGCCATGTCAATGGACCAACTTCTTGGTTCGTTGCAAGCTTATGAAGAAAAGAAAAAGAAGAAGGAAGAAATCACAGAGCAAGTCCTCAAGGCACACGTTGATTCAAGAAAAGAAGAAAATACACACAACCAATCAAGGCGAAGTTATAGTCAAGAACAAGGACGAGGGCGTGCATATGGACGTGGACAAGGACGAAGGCCTAACAGCAATAACCAAAGAGGAGAAAGCTCTAACAGAGGGCGTGGGAGAGGAAATCCGAATTCAAGGTATGACAAGACACAATTCAAGTGTTACAATTGTGATAAGTTTGGACATTATGCTTCTGAATGTAAAGCCCCTAACAAAAATAAAGTCGAAGAGAAAGCCAATTATGCTGAAGAAAGGTGTCAAGAAGATGGTACCTTGTTATTGGCTTACAAGGGCCAAGATAGAGGCGAGGATAATTAGTGGTACCTTGACAATGGAGCAACTAACCATATGTGTGGGAAAAGAAGCATGTTTGTGGAGCTTGATGAATCAGTAAAGGGAAACATGGCTTTTGGAGATGAATCAAAGGTGGCAGTGAAAGGAAAAGGTAATGTCCTCATCCGACTAAAGAATGAAGAACATCAATTTATTTCCAACGTATATTATGTGCCAAGCATGAAGAGCAACATCTTGAGCTTAGGACAACTCTTAGAGAAAGGTTATGATATTCAACTTAAGAATAATAACCTTTCTATAAGAGATAATACAAGTAGATTCATTGCAAAGGTGCCAATGACAAGAAATAGAATGTTCGTGCTCAACATTCAAACTGATGGCCCACAATGTCGCAAGATGTGCTACAAAGACCAATCATGGCTTTGGCATCTTCGATTTGGGCATCTTAATTTTAAAGGATTAGAGTTGCTCTCCAAGAAGACAATGGTGAGATGACTGCCTTATATTATTCACCCCAACCAAGTTTGTGAAGGATGTCTACTTGGAAAACAATTTCGACTGAGTTTTCCAAATGAGTCGGCCTCAAGAGCTCAAAAGCCATTAGAACTCATACACACAGATGTGTGCGGACCAATCAAGCCAAGATCACTCGGTAAGAGTAATTATTTCCTTCTCTTCATTGATGATTTTTCAAAAAACACATGGGTATATTTCTTAAAAGAAAAATCAGAAGTATTTGAGAACTTCAAGAAGTTTAAAGCCCATGTTGAGAAGGAAAGTGGCCTTATGATCAAAGCTTTGAGATCCGATTGTGGAGGAGAGTTCACATCAAAAGAGTTTCAGAAGTATTGTGAAGATAATGGAATCATACGACAATTGACAGTGCCAATATCCCCTCAACAAAATGGAGTGACGGAAAGGAAGAACATAACAATCCTGAAGATGGCAAGAAGTATGCTTAAAAGCAAGAGACTTCCAAAGGAGTTTTGGGCTGAAGCCGTTGCATGTGCAATCTATCTAACCAACTGCTCTCCAACAAGAAGCGTTAGTGGAAAAACACCACAAGAAGCATGGAGCAGAAGAAAGCCAGGTATATCTCATCTTAGAGTCTTTGGAAGCATAGCTCATGTGCATGTACCAGATGAGAAACGAAGTAAGCTTGATGACAAAAGTGAAAAATACATCTTCATTGGTTACGACGCCAACTCCAAAGGGTACAAACTCTGCAATCCTGATTCAAGGAAAACAATCATCAGCCGAAATGTAGTGTTTGACGAAGAAGGAGAATGGGATTGGTCTACAAACTGTGAGGATCATACCTTCTTCCCGTGAGTTGAAGAAGATGATGTGGAACAACAACAACAACCGCAAGAGGCACCTGCTACTCCACCCACTTCACCAAATACAACCATTCAAAGTTTTCGAAGTCTCCAAGAAATTTATGAGGTAACTGAAAATCTAGACAATGTTACCTTATTCTGTCTATTTGCAGACTGTGAGCCCATGAACTTTCAAGAAGCAATTGAAAAGAAGAGTTGGAGAAATGCAATGGATGAAGAGATCGAGGCAATAAAGAAGAATGATACTTGGGAGCTAGTCTCACTTCCAAAAGGGCACAAAGCAATTGGTGTCAAGTGGGTTTACAAAGCAAAGAAGGACTCCAAAGGAGAAGTTCAGAGATACAAAGCAAGATTGGTCGCGAAGGGCTACAGTCAAAGGGCTGGCATCGACTATGACGAGGTATTTGCTCCAGTTGCTCGACTAGAGACTGTAAGACTTATTATATCATTAGCAGCTCAAAATAACTGGAAGATACATCAAATGGATGTCAAATCTGCCTTCTTAAATGGAGTTCTTGAAGAAGAAGTCTACATTGAGCAACCACAAGGATATGAAGTCAAAGGTGAAGAAGATAAAGTCTTGAAATTAAAGAAGGCTCTTTATGGGTTGAAACAAGCCCTGAGAGCTTGGAATGTTCGGATTGACAAGTACTTCAAAGAAGCGAATTTCATCAAGTGTCCATATAAGCATGCACTCTATATCAAAGCTCAAAGTAAAGATATCTTGATTGTATGCTTGTATGTCGATGACTTGATTTTTACCGGGAACAATCCAAGCATGTTTGAAGAATTCAAGAAGGATATGACAATGGAATTTGAAATGATCGACATGGGGCTTATGTCATATTATCTCGAAATTGAAGTAAAATAAGGAAACAAAGGAATTTTTATTACTCAAGAAAGCTAAGCCAAAGACCTCCTCAAGAAGTTCAAGATGGATGATGCTAATCCAGTTGATACTCCTATGGAATGCGGCATCAAGTTGAGTGAGGATGAAGAGGGAGAAAAAATGGATCCAACCCTCTATAAAAGTTTTGTTGGAAGTTTGCGCTATTTAACTTGTACAAGACCAGACATTCTTTATGCCGTTGGAGTCGTGAGTCGGTACATGGAAGCTCCAACAACTACTCGCTTCAAGTCTACGAAGAGGATTCTTCGATATATCCAAGGTACGACAAGCTATGGCCTATACTACTCCATTTCTAACGATTACAAGCTTGTTGGATATAGTGATAGCAATTGGAGTGGAGATATGGATGACCGAAAGAGCACAAGTGGATTTGTGTTCTACATGGGAGACACAGCCTTTACTTGGATGTCCAAGAAGCAGCCTATTGTCACTTTGTCTACATGTGAAGCAGAGTATGTAGCTGCAGCTTCATGTGTTTGCCATGCTGTTTGGCTACGCAACCTATTGAAGGAGTTAAGCTTGCCACAAGTGGAGCCAACAAAGATTTTCGTGGACAACAAGTCGGCAATAACATTAGCAAAAAACCCAGTCTTCCATGATCGAAGTAAGCACATCCACACCCGTTACCATTACATTAGAAAATGCATCAACAACAAGGATGTGCAAATGGAATATGTGAAGACACATGATCAGGTAGTAGATATCTTCACCAAACCGCTGAAGAGAGAAGTCTTTATGAAGTTGAGATGTTTGCTTGAAGTACAAAATCAAGTTTAAGAAGGGGTGTTGGAATATAAATTGATTTTGTATGTTGGGCCTAAAAGATAAAAGCTCAATATTAGCAAAGACCCAAATAGCATTCTAGAAAATCTATCTAGAAGGATTCTAGAATGTTCTACAAAAATATCTAGAGATGCTTATCCATAAAATGTCTCTAGAAAAGTTTAGAATTATAGGAATGTTTTAGAAAGTTCTAGAGAATAAATTATAACCCGTAGATGAATGTTGTGGTGACAAGATCCTAACCATTGGTTAAGGAGGTGTCATTAGTATAAATAGGGGATGATTGTATCATTTGAAAAAAAGCCAAAAGGTTTAGAAGCACTCAATAGAAGTCTTTTCTCTTATCTCAAAATCTTCCAACCTCTCTCAATCTTAAACACTTTCTTCTAGTCTTTAAAGTTTCCTCCCCACAGTTAGATGTAGAGTTTCTTTATAGAAATGAAAGGGATGCACTGGTGCATGTTTTATAATAAGGAAAAAATGGAAACACAGAAATAATCGATAAACATAAAATTAATAAATAATCACTTAATTAATTAGGGTGAAATGCTTGAAGGTGCAGGGAAAAGACCCACCTTTATTCTGTTTCTTTGCATTTGTTTGAAACTTTCTAGTAGCCGACCTTTGACCTATCATTTGTCCTTTCTTTCCAAGTAATTCCCAAAATCTTGCACAAGATTTATGTGGTGATTAAAGTTCAATCGGATAACATTTTTATTTCAAACCCTAACAAAGGGTTTAATTTAGATTAAATGTTATGCTTCTTCACGGAAGTGAACTTTGTTTCTTTCAGAGACCAAACGCAACACAAACATAAACACAAACACTTTGGTGGCAGTTTCAAGTTGTGATTCATAGCATAGTTGGATTTAAGGCCACAACATGCATTATTCGTCACAGCTATGTGATTATCACGATTACGATATTTTCACTAAAGTTGAAGAAAAGCACACCTAACCATTTGAATGAGATTAAGTACTAAATGACAAGAAGTAGTAATATGACAGGCATTAATAATTGGGAGGAAAATGCACCAACCAATGTGACTGATTTGCAGCCATTCATCCATTACCAGTGTTTGAAAAGCACGAGAAAAGGGCTAATTAAAAGAAAACGAAAGAAGGAGCCCACTGTAGAACAATGATGCGTCAATAATACCACGTCCTCGTCACCCTCTAAACTTTCTTAGTTCCACAACTAGTGGTAGTAATCATATCGCAACAAAGATCAACCCACTTTTATTATTATCTCATTATAATTTGTAATGATGGTTAACAAAAGCAAATGGTAATAATCTAGATTAATCTTCTGTCTAAGCCATCATTACCCTAGTGGGACCAAATGCATTATTTTCCTTTTCCCCTACCTAGTTAAGATTTTTATGTTGCTCTCTTTGCCTCTGCTCTGACTTCAGCTACTACCTACTACACCAAAGTTCATTGCTTCCATTTTATTCTCTCTTGTCTATAAGCTTATATAACTATTTGCAAGCAAAGAAATTAACTACTAGGAAAATAACCATGAAAGGAATTGATTTGTTATGTTCTCCCTCAGCTTCCACAGCTGTTACTTCTAGCATGCACCATCGTTCTACGGCGCGTGGAAGAACAAAAAGCTACGACCATGACGGAAGGAAAAGCCAACTCTGTGTACCTTGTTCATCCCAATTGCCCTTAACTCCTAAGCCTCAGTCGGAGAAGCACAGAAAGAGCTCGGCTGATAAGGGTAACAGTGACACGCGTAGAAAAAGTTCTGTTGATGTTAATGACCTATATACTCATGCCAGTGCAGAGCGTTCATCCAGAAGATATCTCCTAGCTGACGCGCCATTCTTTGAGTGGGTATCAGAGTCTAATAAATTCACACAAATGGTTCCTTCTCAACATGATGTCGAAGACAAGACCATGGTTATCAAAAGAAACCATGCTCCTACTCTTCGCTCCTCTTCTACAGCTCGCTCCAAGGACCAGGTTTTTCTTTTCTTTTCCAACCTTTGTTTCTTTTTTCTCAAAATGATACTCACCGGTTAACACTTTTTCTGAAACCTTTAACAGGTCGTGGTTTTGAGGGTGTCGTTGCATTGCAAGGCCTGCGAAGGAAAAGTTAGAAAACATATTTCAAAAATGGAAGGTGAGTCCGGTTAATCCATATACTTAGTTTTGGAGTTTACATAGCAGTATCGTTACTCCGGTATAGTTGAATTTTATGTTCTTTGTAAACATTAAAGTTTGATGTTTATGGTAATGCTACTATAATCATTTATATAAACTAATCTTGCATGAAAGAAAGAGTGATTTGTTGAGAATATTATATGGGTTTGTAGGAGTGACATCATTCAGCATAGAAATGGAGACAAAGAAAGTGACGATAATCGGAGACGTGACACCAATGGGGGTACTGGCGAGTGTATCCAAGGTGAAGAATGCACAACTTTGGCCATCTCTCTAGACTTGAATCTGATACACCTTTGGGGTGTGCGTGTTTGTATGATTAGAATTTGGATAACTTGTGAAGCACTCGAAAGAGTGTTGTAAATGAACATTTTTCCTTTAGTTGTTTAGTCATTGTGGTGAGTGAAGTGGTACAACTGACAATTCTTAATTGGTCATCTGGTGTGTTTCACGACCAAATGTTTACTCTTCCGCCTAAATCAAAACACAGACCTGCTTAGGAGACAACGTCTGGCAAACTTTTGAAAGAAGAAAAGGGTAACGTGTATAGCTTTAAAATGTAGCCGTGCGCCTAAGACCCACATTATCTTGTTCCTGCTTGTGGGGTTAAGTAGTATATAAAAATGAAGTAAGTATGTGTTGGTAGAAAGTAAAGAAATTGAAAATAAGTGTGATTGCAAACCATTTTGAAGCTAAACAAGCTCATTCAAAGTATAACGAGAGAAGGACATATGAGAAAACTTGAGGCTAAGCACTTGAAAAGCAATAATGGGTATACGTTTGTCCAAGCACTTGGAATGCACTTTGTTGGGGACACAAGTAACAGGGTAATGCATGCCAGACAGTGGTAGCAGAGAGCACTGAAGACCAGCCTGGTCTGTTTGGAAGCATTCTCTTTGGAAAACTAATGGTTCTAAGGTTTTCTTTTTGAGCTTCTGAAAGCGATTAGAGTTGGTTAATGTGACATGATGCAGGTCCCGTTGTTGAAGGGTTCGGTTTGCTTTTGTTGTTTTTGTTAACATTGTACATTCTATATTCCCTACAAGTAACCTAATCATGAGAGCATAGTCCACTTTTATGGTTGCCTAGTCTTGCTCAAATTTGACATGGTCCGGTGTTTTTATCTTCCTTTTGCTTGATCTACTTTCTCAAACCAATTCATCAGACAACAGGTACCCTGTAGAAGCCACTAGATTTCTATTTATCGCTAGTTTTACTTTCCTCCTCGTGTTGTTTCTTTGCTTCAATTTGTTTTACTAAATTCTGTGTAACCGACGAACACAATAACTTATTATTATATAGTTGGATTCTCAACACTCTCTTTAGAGTTCTTTTTACATACACAATTCTAGTATTCTTTATCTATGAACACTATTGTTTTAAATTTGAAAAAATTAAAAAAAAATAGGATAATTTATCGTGTAAATTATAAAAAGAATAATTAAATTAAAATTTACATATTAAAGATAAGTTGTAATGAGTCCTCACTATAAAATTTTCATAAGTTTTGATGGCTTATTCGTAAGTGAAGTCCGTGTGACTCAACATTTTTTTTAATATATGTTAAACTAAAGTTGTCATAAGTCACAACAACTTAAATTCAATTGAAAGTTGTTATCCGATAACATCTTATAAATTGAAAATTGTCACAATTTCCAACTAATTTCTTTTATTGTATTTATAAAAAATTCTCATAAGTCAATTTTACTTTTTCAGAATTTTATGAAGTAAAGAAACAACAATGGTTAAAAACTTCTTTCCACTACGATTCTAAAACCATCGTTGAATAAGTCTTCATTAAAAGTAGTTCTCAAACAACAACAGTTATATTTAACTGTCATTATATTGCTAAAATTGTAATGACGATTAAATTCAACTGTTATTAAAAATTCAAGATAATGATGATGCTCAGACCGTTTTCAGATTTTAATTAGAATAAAAAAAAGTAATGAAAGAGCTTTATAACAACAATTTTATCTATAAACCCAATCAAAAATTAAAATAATAATAATAATACTGTAAATGGACTTTGAATTGAAACTTTGTGACAAATGTAAATCGTACAATACTGTAAACTGTAAGTATTTTGTTGAATTTTATAGAGATTTTTCAAAAGATATTTAAATATATTGAATTTAAATTGATATTATTTTAAATTATTTTATTTTTCATCATTTATTTGGATAAGTAAATTTAAATTTGATTTTTTTTATTCAGACGAGATATTTCAATTATTAATACATACAATTATTTAAATGAAAAACATTCATAATTAATGTTGCTGAAATTTTTTTCGGTCAACATTTAAAAAAATTAAAACAAACTATTGATAAATAATAATATTTGTGTTGATATTAAAAAAAATGAAAAATTTTAATTGATACTGAGTATTAAATATAGTAATTTATAATAATAACAAAAATAATTCAAAAAAATTAAATAAGAATAAATATAAAGATTAATAAGAAAAATTCTAATCGTCATTTGTCGAAAAATAATCATCCTATCAATGTTTTTATTTTATTCACATCGAAGACTCTCATACCAAAATCGAACTAGCATAGTTTAGGTGTTTGAAAATGTGAAATATTTAAAATTTTTACCATTTAAATGGTATTTGAAATTGTCTAATTTTATGTAATCCAACTAATTTCATAAAAAATTTGAATTTCAATGTCTTTTTGAATCCAAACAACATATATAATTTATTTCATATTCTATGTTATGATGAATTATTCTCTTAAAGTTTTCGTCCAAACACGACAAAATAGTGAACACGAAGAGAATGGAAGTAAATTTAAAACATAGTGTTTCTGCTAAAATGGAACGAGGATCTCCGCTGAACGTCCTCTTGTCGCTGGTGAACATCTCCAGCCTTATCTTTGATCGGTCTGGTAATCCTGCGTACCGAGCATTTTGCTTCTCCTAGCTCTAGTTAACCCCGCTGAACGTCCTCTTGTCGCTATCGAACATCTCCAGCCTTTGATCTTTGGTCGGTCTGATAATCCTACGTACGGAGCGTTCTGCTTCTCCTAGCTCGCTCCAGTTAACCGAACATGGAAAGGGGGGTGACGAAGACACTCCGACGCTCTAAGTCTGAAATTTTCTCTGTAGGTCTTTTATGATTAAGTAGTGAGTAAAAACGTGAGTTTACCTCGAACTTAAACCCTTAATTATAGAATTTAAAGGATTCTGATCAATTAATTTATTTCTTAATGGTCATTAATGCAAACCTTAACCGTTTAACAATAGCCGTTGTCACATTTATTGTGTGCCTTAACTCTACTCAACGGTTGTCGGGACCGGGACGGAATGACTGAGAGGCTTTCTCCTGCACGTTGACCGTTCAATTCCGTAGGGTCGTATGTCATCCGATGGATCGGTCGGCCATGAGCCCAAAGTAACTCAGAGGAGGTTCTTCTACACCTTTACCGTTCCGTCGGTCATGAATCCAAAATAACTTAGAGACTCTTCTGCAAATTTACCGTTCGGTCGGCCATGAGCCCATAGTAACACATAGGATTAAAGAAAATTATAAAGATAAAATGTTTCAAATGTAAAGAAATTTTTCTAAAGAAACTGAATGCATAAAACACAAATACGTGAATAACTAAAAAGGTTAAGATAATTCTAAATATGAAAAGAAGAAGTATCAACAAATTTCAATAATGTTTGAAGAAATTGTATAAATTACAAAGAAAACTTAACCAGTAAAGGGGATGATGCGAGAAATGCAAATGCAAGGAGGTGTGGAAGAAGAGACTTTAAGAAGGGATATGTGTAAAATGGTGAGATTATGTAGAGAGAACGTTTTATTAAAGGATTTTGTTCTGTAAGGGGGACATTAATTTGGTATGAACCTCTTTTTTGCTTTCTCTGCTGACTTCTCTTCTCTCTGAAACAGACTCAATCCCATTCACTCCTATTCTTCTTCTTCGTGTGGAACCATATAGCTCAGGAGAATACCTAATTGAATAGCGTTTGATTCTTTTTGTTGTAATTTATTTGTTGTTTTCTTGTTCATGTTATAAGTCACACACATATTATAAAACTGGTTGAAATCTGTTATAAATAATATCTCCTATTTCAACTTATAAGCAAAAATAATTATCGAAAATTTTACGTTAACTAAAAATAAAATTAATTTAAAATATATAAATATATATAAATCTTAAGTCAGTTTTATAAGGTTGAATTAAATTTAAAATTTATTTTTTAAATGTAAATGTTAAAGTGTTCATAATTAAAATTATATATTTTTTTATTTATAGACATCTCAATATTTGTTTTCTAGAGATCCAGAACAAGAAACCTTCCAATATTACCATGTGAGTGTCCACTTGTTACCTTCTTTAGAGAAACAAGTCTTTGTAATCTATTTTCTCCATCTCAATCATCCAATTCAGTTAGCGACATTATCTTTATTTTCTTTGACTTATGAAGATTTTGAGCCTACTAACTTAATATTTTTTTATACTTGCAAGTAATTACGCAACCTACGATAAATTCTCCCAAACACTTGTATTAGCTCTTTAACAATGATTTAATAAATCTAATATTAAGATTCAATTTATATAAAAAATTTAAAACTATAAATTTATCAATCTTTTACATTATATATGATGACATTGAACTTATTTTTATTTGATATAAAACTAATGACATTCACACTTAAAATCTAAATGAGACCTAGACTTAAATAAGAATTAACATTACTCTTTATTAATACTTTAAAACAATAAAATAGTAAATATTCAATTTTATATTTTTATATGATGTTCTACTCTGGTTTCTATACCACGTAAATCTTAGAGTCATATAGTTATAATATTAAGAATAAGTAATCTTAAGAATCAGTATTGCAAAAATACAAATGTCACTTTCCTATTATAATTTTCATATTTAAGTAATTTTGAATATGAAAATGATGAAAGGGCATTATGGACATTGATTATGAATTAATTAGTAGAGTATTCTCGTCCACATGAAGCAGTGCACCCTACCATTTTACCCAAAACGTGCATGCAGACAGACAAGTACTCTGTCTGAGAAGAAGAAGGTTGAACAATGTAACACTGCTTGATCTGGAAAGTGCTTCTTTCTCAACGATCAGATTTTTAATTTCGTGATGGAAGTTCATACACCAACACGTATTCCTGTGCTGTACAATAGGGTATCCAATGCCCCAAGACTGCATCAAGTTCGACCACGTAACACCATCATCACATCACATACCCATCATACCAAAAACACATTTCCATCGCAAGTTCATTAAACATTGTTTCTGTCAATGTTTTCGATGTATTATTTGTTTTGAAATTTAAGGAAGGGAGTGTTTATAAAACTGAATTAGATCAAGAAGCAGCTTTCAACCCTCTGAAAAAACAGAAAAAATCACATCCATACAGCTAGCTAGCACTTCCACACAACATCGTTTGAAGTTTCATTTTTTCTATGATTCATTTTGTCCGTACATCGCACATCCTCTTAACTATAAATACACCTACCGACTTATGATCACACACACAGCTAAAATCTCTCTCAGCTCAACCTTTTCAAATCTAAGAACACACCATAGCTTACCCTTAACGTTTTTGCAGAATCCTTCTGAAATTACAGAGCCAAAATGAACAAAGACCAAAGACCAAAGAAAAGGTGAAGCTTTAAGAATGTTCAGTTATTGGAGATCCAGGAGAATGTCCGGGTCGAGATCCGGCAATGAGAAGGCCTTGGTTGATTCCGAAATCTATTACATACGTGGACTCTCCCGGCGGTGGCAAAAGCTTCTGAAATTGTCTGGTTGGCGGTGAAGTGCGCCGATTTCATCAAAATACCGGCATGACTCCATCAAACAGTTTGCAACACGTTCGGCCAAAATCTGTAGCAACATGTTTCACTAAATTTAGCAGAGCATAGGGTACGTTGATGAATTCAAACATAGACATTGGAGTTGAACATTCCTAAAGAAACATTTTCATGAATACTTCAGTATATTTCTTATTAGTTTTGTATTTTATGTATAAGATTTTTTATTTTTTTTAATTCAATAAAGTTCTTGTTTCTTTTCAAAAAAATCCTTATGTTAAATTGGCCTAACATACACGTGTCAACATCTGAATTATTTCTTATCTTAAAATCCCTTTATTTTTTTTTCTCTTCTATCTTCCTTCACCTCCTTCTTTTCCCTCTACCTCGTATCGTATAGTGTGATCAAATTTAATGTAAGTATATAAAAGTAAATGAGATTACCGGTATTACAAGAATGAAACTTGTTTAAATTTCCTTACGTCATTGATTTGTTTAATTAATTATTAGATAAACAAATCCTACTTAATCTCTTAAATTTAGTAAGTTTAATTAATTTTATTCTCTAAATATAAAATTAATTTTTAATATTGTGATTTGAAAAATAAATAAAGTTTTTGTTTTAGTCCTATCTAAAACCGGTTAAGATGAATACTTTAAAAAAAATAAATTTAAGGTATTTAATAATAAAACTATACAAAATAAAACTAAAGTAGGTTATCACGAAAGTATCTCATTGTTTCAGTTATTCTTTATGGTCTTTCTTTTTTTGCTTTACACACCATCAATTTACTCACTTAGAACCTAATCATAGAAAAATAGAAGCTTCTGATGACTTTTGAAAAAAATTGAAGATGAAAAATAAAATACAATGATACTCATAGACTTTTTGTGTGAAAGATACTTGTTTTATTTATTTTTATATCTATCCATTTTCTACTTAAAGAACAGCAATGCTGATCATTAAGTTTTCACCAACCAGCCACACCTAAATTTTTGCGCATCATTCATGCACCAAAACAACACTAATTCAAATTTTTGAGAAGTTTGCTTAATAACATCATCCTCTTGAGTAATTTCAAAAGTTGAATTGTCTTCTTCGTATGATATTTAAGTAGCTAAATTATTCTTCATCGTATCTAACTTTATATACCAAGTGCTCAAACTCTCATTTCGAGCACAAAAATGTGAAAAAAAATAATAATCATGAACTCAACTTATTTTCACAAAAAAATAAGGGTAGTTTATTGTAAAATAAAATAAAAAAGTTTGAAAAAGATATGATAATATAAGTAATTACAATCCTTATCCATTATTACTATTAATAAAATGTCAAATTCTAAAAATGAATTTGCTTTTTTAAAATACTCTTCATTGAAATAAAAAGAATTTAAAGAAGAAGGTAAAAGAAAAAGAACAGCCACACAATAAGAAAATCCACATAAATTTTAGTGATTTAAAATAATTAATCATGACTAATTTAGATATAAACTTATAAACTAAAAATTATTAATAATTAAAATCATTTCAAAAACCTATAATTGATCTCTAAATTAATAACTAAAATCATTTTTATTATGAATTAGTCACTAATTAGAAATTGATCTCTAATTAGAAAATAAATTTTAAATTTACTTTTATACATATTTCTAATCATTGAAATTCATCATTATTTAAGAATTTCTTTTTAATGAATTTCGATCCTCATAAATTACACTCTTAGTGAATTCAACCTATTAAAAATAAACTGAGTTTAACCTAACTTGTCCCGGTATGCCAATGGGCTAGTCAATCCATTTTTACCCCTAAATTTAATTCAAAATAGTAAAGAAAAAAGAATTGTGGTACTTTGATATAACAAGACGACAAATTACGTTCATTTGATACAGTTAAACAATAATATTTTAATTATAATTATATTATTTTTTTAATTTAAAATTGTATCATGTGGCCCGAACAGCCACGCAGACACCCCATCACTAAGTCATCCCGAACGGTCCTAGAGAGCAGAAATGTGCTAGTGACTGAACGCAACAAAATCATTGAGCAAGGCTGGAGGACCATAAGTAGAATGTCTGATCCTAGTCAATAATCAGGTTTCCCTACAAAGGTTAAGGTAATAGGTAATTAAGGGTATTGGGTTAAGATTGAGTCATGATTAAGATTTTACTAATCTTAAGCTCATGCCGAAAATTATAAATAAGAGTGAAAGGTAAGAGGTAGTTGTTCGCATTTACTGTACATTTATTACTGTTACATTGAATTCCCGTCAACTGACTTAAGCATAAAAAAACCTTTGGCAGGTACACCTCCAAACAGTGAAGCGACAAAAAAGACTAGAAGAACAGATACCGGACAATCTTTCGGAAAAAATTGCGTAAGTGTTAACGACTTGACATCACATCCAAAACAAAAATCATAATATACATTATTATATTATTAAAAGTAGTGTCATATAAATGTTTATTTTTAATCCGTGTCAAACTACATTTTTTCAAGAAAAAAAATAGTTCACAACAATTAAGTACCTCAACATCATAACAGTATCCATTTTCCGGTTTCTAGCGAAATAAAATGTTCAGAAATAAATAGTTACTTATTAGATGGAAGCATCATAACATGATTTTTTTTCTCAAAAAAGTTGTAAAAAGAGTAAATCAATATGTGTGCCTGCACATGGCTTTTCAACTTCTTATGGTATTTTCTTTTTCCATAGGTCCGAGGTTTAGTCAAACAAATTAAAGCAGAGAAACAGCTCGAAGAGGAAAGTAAAACTAGTGATAAATAGAATTCTGGTGCCACCTTTTGTCTCATGAACTGGTTTGAGAAAGAAGATAAAGCAAAAGGAAGATAGAACACCAGACCACGTCAAATTTGAGAAAGACTAGGCAACCATAAAAGTGAACTATGCTCTCATGATTAGGTTACTTGTAGGGAATGTAGAATGTACAATGTTCACAAAAACAACAAAAGCAAACCGAACACTTCAACAATGGGACCTGCATCATGTCACATTAACCAACTCCAAGTGCTTTCAGAAGCTCAAAAAGAAAACCTTAGAACCATTAGTTTTCCGAAGAGAATGCTTCCAAACAGACCAGGCTGGTCTTAAGTGCTCTCTGCAACCACTGTCTGGCATGCATTACCCTGTTACTTGTGTCCCCAACAAAGTGCATTCCAAGTGCTTGGACAAACGTATACCCATTATTGCTTTTCAAGTGCTTAGCCTCAAGATTTCTCATATGTCCTTCTCTCGTTATACAATGAATGAGCTTGTTAAGCTTCAAAATGGTTTGCAATCACACTTATTTTCAATTTCTTTACTTTCTACCAACACATACTTACTTCATTTTTATATACTACTTAACCCCACAAGCAGGAACAAGATAATGTGGGTCTTAGGCGCACGGCTACATTTTAAAGCTATACACGTTACCCTTTTCTTCTTTCAAAAGTTTGCCAGACGTTGTCTCCTAAGCAGGTCTGTGTTTTGATTTAGGCGGAAGAGTAAACATTTGGTCGTGAAACACACCAGATGACCAATTAAGAATTGTCAGTTGTACCACTTCACTCACCACAATGACTAAACAACTAAAGGAAAAATGTTCATTTACAACACTCTTTCGAGTGCTTCACAAGTTATCCAAATTCTAATCATACAAACACGCACACCCCAAAGGTGTATCAGATTCAAGTCTAGAGAGATGGCCAAAGTTGTGCATTCTTCACCTTGGATACACTCGCCAGTACCCCCAGTGGTGTCACGTCTCCGATTATCGTCACTTTCTTTGTCTCCATTTCTATGCTGAATGATGTCACTCCTACAAACCCATATAATATTCTCAACAAATCACTCTTTCTTTCATGCAAGATTAGTTTATATAAATGATTATAGTAGCATTACCATAAACATCAAACTTTAATGTTTACAAAGAACATAAAATTCAACTATACCGGAGTAACGATACTGCTATGTAAACTCCAAAACTAAGTATATGGATTAACCGGACTCACCTTCCATTTTTGAAATATGTTTTCTAACTTTTCCTTCGCAGGCCTTGCAATGCAACGACACCCTCAAAACCACGACCTGGTAAAGGTTTCAGAAAAAGTGATAACCGGTGAGTATCATTTTGAGAAAAAAGAAACAAAGGTTGGAAAAGAAAAGAAAAACCTGGTCCTTGGAGCGAGCTGAAGAAGAGGAGCGAAGAGTAGGAGCATGGTTTCTTTTGATAACCATGGACTTGTCTTCGACATCATGTTGAGAAGGAACCATTTGTGTGAATTTATTAGACTCTGATACCCACTCAAAGAATGGCGCGTCAGCTAGGAGATATCTTCTGGATGAACGCTCAGCACTGGCATGAGTATATAGGTCATTAACATCAACAGAACTTTTTCTACGCGTGTCACTGTTACCCTTATCAGCCGAGCTCTTTCTGTGCTTCTCCGACTGAGGCTTAGGAGTTAAGGGCAATTGGGATGAACAAGGTACACAGAGTTGGCTTTTCCTTCCGTCATGGTCGTAGCTTTTTGTTCTTCCACGCGCCGTAGAACGATGGTGCATGCTAGAAGTAACAGCTGTGGAAGCTGAGGGAGAACATAACAAATCAATTCCTTTCATGGTTATTTTCCTAGTAGTTAATTTCTTTGCTTGCAAATAGTTATATAAGCTTATAGACAAGAGAGAATAAAATGGAAGCAATGAACTTTGGTGTAGTAGGTAGTAGCTGAAGTCAGAGCAGAGGCAAAGAGAGCAACATAAAAATCTTAACTAGGTAGGGGAAAAGGAAAATAATGCATTTGGTCCCACTAGGGTAATGATGGCTTAGACAGAAGATTAATCTAGATTATTACCATTTGCTTTTGTTAACCATCATTACAAATTATAATGAGATAATAATAAAAGTGGGTTGATCTTTGTTGCGATATGATTACTACCACTAGTTGTGGAACTAAGAAAGTTTAGAGGGTGACGAGGACGTGGTATTATTGACGCATCATTGTTCTACAGTGGGCTCCTTCTTTCGTTTTCTTTTAATTAGCCCTTTTCTCGTGCTTTTCAAACACTGGTAATGGATGAATGGCTGCAAATCAGTCACATTGGTTGGTGCATTTTCCTCCCAATTATTAATGCCTGTCATATTACTACTTCTTGTCATTTAGTACTTAATCTCATTCAAATGGTTAGGTGTGCTTTTCTTCAACTTTAGTGAAAATATCGTAATCGTGATAATCACATAGCTGTGACGAATAATGCATGTTGTGGCCTTAAATCCAACTATGCTATGAATCACAACTTGAAACTGCCACCAAAGTGTTTGTGTTTATGTTTGTGTTGCGTTTGGTCTCTGAAAGAAACAAAGTTCACTTCCGTGAAGAAGCATAACATTTAATCTAAATTAAACCCTTTGTTAGGGTTTGAAATAAAAATGTTATCCGATTGAACTTTAATCACCACATAAATCTTGTGCAAGATTTTGGGAATTACTTGGAAAGAAAGGACAAATGATAGGTCAAAGGTCGGCTACTAGAAAGTTTCAAACAAATGCAAAGAAACAGAAGAAAGGTGGGTCTTTTCCCTGCACCTTCAAGCATTTCACCCTAATTAATTAAGTGATTATTTATTAATTTTATGTTTATCGATTATTTCTGTGTTTCCATTTTTTCCTTATTATAAAACATGCACCAGTGCATCCCTTTCATTTCTATAAAGAAACTCTACATCTAACTGTGGGGAGGAAACTTTAAAGACTAGAAGAAAGTGTTTAAGATTGAGAGAGGTTGGAAGATTTTGAGAGAAGAGAAAAGACTTCTATTGAGTGCTTCTAAACCTTTTGGCTTTTTTTCAAATGATACAATCATCCCCTATTTATACTAATGACACCTCCTTAACCAATGGTTAGGATCTTGTCACCACAACATTCATCTACGGGTTATAATTTATTCTCTAGAACTTTCTAAAACATTCCTATAATTCTAAACTTTTCTAGAGACATTTTATGGATAAGCATCTCTAGATATTTTTGTAGAACATTCTAGAATCCTTCTAGATAGATTTTCTAGAATGCTATTTGGGTCTTTGCTAATATTGAGCTTTTATCTTTTAGGCCCAACATATTAATGTAAGTATATAAAAGTAAATGAGATTACCGGTATTACAAGAATGAAACTTGTTTAAATTTCCTTACGTCATTGATTTGTTTAATTAATTATTAGATAAACAAATCCTACTTAATCTCTTAAATTTAGTAAGTTTAATTAATTTTATTCTCTAAATATAAAATTAATTTTAATATTGTGATTTGAAAAATAAATAAAGTTTTTGTTTTAGTCCTATCTCAACGTTAAGATGTTAATACTTTAAAAAAGAATAAACTTTAATGGTTGATCTAATACATAACTATACAAAACATAACAACTAAAGTAGGTATCACGAAAGTATCTCATTGTTCAGTTATTCTTTATTGGTCTTTCTTTTTTTGCTTTACACACCATCAATTTACTCACTTAGAACCTAATCATAGAAAAATAGAAGCTTCTGATGACTTTTGAAAAAAATTGAAGATGAAAAATAAAATACAATGATACTCATAGACTTTTTGTGTGAAAGATACTTGTTTTATTTATTTTTATATCTATCCATTTTCTACTTAAAGAACAGCAATGCTGATCATTAAGTTTTCACCAACCAGCCACACCTAAATTTTTGCGCATCATTCATGCACCAAAACAACACTAATTCAAATTTTTGAGAAGTTTGCTTAATAACATCATCCTCTTGAGTAATTTCAAAAGTTGAATTGTCTTCTTCGTATGATATTTAAGTAGCTAAATTATTCTTCATCGTATCTAACTTTATATACCAAGTGCTCAAACTCTCATTTCGAGCACAAAAATGTGAAAAAAAATAATAATCATGAACTCAACTTATTTTCACAAAAAAATAAGGGTAGTTTATTGTAAAATAAAATAAAAAAGTTTGAAAAAGATATGATAATATAAGTAATTACAATCCTTATCCATTATTACTATTAATAAAATGTCAAATTCTAAAAATGAATTTGCTTTTTTAAAATACTCTTCATTGAAATAAAAAGAATTTAAAGAAGAAGGTAAAAGAAAAAGAACAGCCACACAATAAGAAAATCCACATAAATTTTAGTGATTTAAAATAATTAATCATGACTAATTTAGATATAAACTTATAAACTAAAAATTATTAATAATTAAAATCATTTCAAAAACCTATAATTGATCTCTAAATTAATAACTAAAATCATTTTTATTATGAATTAGTCACTAATTAGAAATTGATCTCTAATTAGAAAATAAATTTTAAATTTACTTTTATACATATTTCTAATCATTGAAATTCATCATTATTTAAGAATTTCTTTTTAATGAATTTCGATCCTCATAAATTACACTCTTAGTGAATTCAACCTATTAAAAATAAACTGAGTTTAACCTAACTTGTCCCGGTATGCCAATGGGCTAGTCAATCCACTTTTTTCCCCTAAATTTAATTCAAAATAGTAAAGAAAAAAGAATTGTGGTACTTTGATATAACAAGACGACAAATTACGTTCATTTGATACAGTTAAACAATAATATTTTAATTATAATTATATTATTTTTTTAATTTAAAATTGTATCATGTGGCCCGAACAGCCACGCAGACACCCCATCACTAAGTCATCCCGAACGGTCCTAGAGAGCAGAAATGTGCTAGTGACTGAACGCAACAAAATCATTGAGCAAGGCTGGAGGACCATAAGTAGAATGTCTGATCCTAGTCAATAATCAGGTTTCCCTACAAAGGTTAAGGTAATAGGTAATTAAGGGTATTGGGTTAAGATTGAGTCATGATTAAGATTTTACTAATCTTAAGCTCATGCCGAAAATTATAAAAAGAGTGAAAGGTAAGAGGTAGTTGTTCGCATTTACTGTACATTTATTACTGTTACATTGAATTCCCGTCAACTGACTTAGCATAAGAAAACCTTTGGCAGGTACAACCTCCAAACAGTGAAGGCGATCAAAAAAGACTAGAAGAACAGATACTCGGGACAATCTTTCCGCGGAAAAAAATTGCGTAAGGTGTTAACGTACTTGACATCACATCCAAAACACAAATCATAATATACATTATTATATTATTAAAATATTGTCATATAAAATGATTTATTTTTAATCCGTGTCAAACTACATTTTTTCTCAAGAAAAAAAATAGTTCACAACAATTAAGTACACGTTTCTCATTCCGTTCAACATCATAACAGTATCCATTTTCCGGTTTCTCTAGCGAAATAAAATTTCAGAAATAAATAGTTACTTATTAGATGGAAGGCATCATAACATGATTTTTTTTCTCAAAAAAGTTGTAAAAAGAGTAACTCAATATGTGTGCCTGCACATGGCTTTTTCAACTTCTTATGGTATTTTCTTTTTCCATAGGTCGAGGTTTAGTTCAAACAAATTAAAGGGCAGAAGAAACAGCTCAAGAGGAAAGTAAAACTAGTGTATAAATAGAATTCTGGTGGCTCACCCTTTTGTCTCATGAACTGGTTTCGACTGAACGAGATAATACGCAAACCGGAACGTAGACACCACCCGAGGGCCCGTCAAATCTTGAGAAAGCCGCTATGGCAACCATCAACTTGCTATGCTCGTCATGCTTGGGGTTAGCTGTAGGGAATGTAGAATGTAGCATGTTCACAAAACAACAAAAGCAAACCAACACCTTCAACAATGGGACCTGCATCATGTCACATTAACCAACTCCAAGTGCTTTCAGAAGCTCAAAAAGAAAACCTTAGAACCATTAGTTTTCCGAAGAGAAATGCTTCCAAACAGACAGGCTGGTCTTTGAGTGCTCTCTGCACCCACTGTCTGGCAGACATTACCCTGGTTACTGTGTCCCCAACAAAAGTGCATTTCACAAGTGCTGGAAAAACGTATACCCATTATTGCTTTTGCAAGTGCGTAGCCTCAAGGTTCTCATATGTCCTTCTCTTCTTATAACTGTGAATGAGCTTGTTCAGGTCTTCAAAATGGTTTGCAATCACACTTATTTTCAATTTCTTTACTTTCTACCAACACATACTTACTTCATTTTTATATACTACTTAACCCCACAAGCAGGAACAAGATAATGTGGGTCTTAGGCGCACGGCTACATTTTAAAGCTATACACGTTACCCTTTTCTTCTTTCAAAAGTTTGCCAGACGTTGTCTCCTAAGCAGGTCTGTGTTTTGATTTAGGCGGAAGAGTAAACATTTGGTCGTGAAACACACCAGATGACCAATTAAGAATTGTCAGTTGTACCACTTCACTCACCACAATGACTAAACAACTAAAGGAAAAATGTTCATTTACAACACTCTTTCGAGTGCTTCACAAGTTATCCAAATTCTAATCATACAAACACGCACACCCCAAAGGTGTATCAGATTCAAGTCTAGAGAGATGGCCAAAGTTGTGCATTCTTCACCTTGGATACACTCGGCCAGTAGCCGCTCCATTGGTGTCACGTTCTCCGATTAGTCACTTTCTTGTCTTCCATTTCTATGCTGAATGATGTCACTCCTACAAACCATATAATATTCTCAACAAATCACTCTTTCTTTCATGCAAGATTAGTTTATATAAATGATTATAGTAGCATTACCATAAACATCAAACTTTAATGTTTACAAAGAACATAAAATTCAACTATACCGGAGTAACGATACTGCTATGTAAACTCCAAAACTAAGTATATGGATTAACCGGACTCACCTTCCATTTTTGAAATATGTTTTCTAACTTTTCCTTCGCAGGCCTTGCAATGCAACGACACCCTCAAAACCACGACCGATAAAGGTTTCAGAAAGTGGTAAACCGGTGAGTATCATTTTGAGAAAAAAGTAACAAAGGTTTGAAAAGAAAAGAAAAAACTGGTCTTGGAGCGAGCTGTAGAAGAGGAGCGAAGAGTAGGACATGGTTTCTTTTGATAACATGGGCTTGTCTTCGACTAATGTTGAGAAGGAACCATTTGTGTGAATTTATTAGACTCTGATACCCACTCAATGAATGGCGCGTCAGCAAGGAGATATCTTCTG